AAGTGAACGACTTGCTCCGTGCCCTGTCTCCTGTCGTCTACTGGCTCGCACTCTTCTCCATTGTTGTTCACGGCCTGTCGATTCCCATCCTGAACGCGCTTTACGGCTACTTTGGCGTCCAGCCGATCCAGGATGACGCTGTCGAGATGCGCCGCAAGTCGGTCCACGTCGCGGCGCCACCCAACGCCATCGAGGGCGACAAGGAGACCTTTATCGCCTACAATCGTTTCTCCCGTCCCGTGTTCGACAACAACCAGCTTCCCGACTGGCGCGACGAGAACCCCGAGCCCAGCATGGACGTGGATCTTGAGCGTCAAAAGTCGGAAGCGGCGCTCAGCGCGCCGCGCACGCCGCGCACGCCGCGCAACCGCAGCAGGAGCAGGAGCACGATTCGCTTCATGGATCGACGCGGGGCCAACGCAGGCATGGGCATGTGAGCCGCCAAGGTGGCGTGCCAACATACACGGCATATCACTCGTTTGGGGCTTCGCTGCGGTCCCTACGCCCGTACCAATAACTACTACAACAATACAAACACCTGCAGCATGAAAAGAACGATGCTGGCGGGGACTCCGAGGTCGTTTCGTGACGGCAATTCTACCACGTACGCGTGGTACTCGGGACTTTTTGGTTGGGCGTGGCACTTTTCTCTCGTGTCTTATTCCATAGATGTGCATGGTCTGGTGCATTACGAGCTTATTTTTCTCATGTCTCAATACAGGGTGCATCTGCATGAATGGTCATTGGCAAGCGAGCTTTTCTTTCATGTTTGATTCTGGAACAATTTTCATGTGACTGACTGCTTTGGCGGTGGAGTCTGATGAGCACTGCATCGATAGAATTTTGATCTCCCTAGAATAGCGATGAATTAGTCTTTTTTACTGCTAGGCAGATGTTTGTGCCATGGGACACTTGGCAGTTGGATGACCAGATGCAGGGTTGGCTTCCATGTCAAGTGTGACGTTCAGAATGCGTCTACCTAGACCTTATGTGTCAAGGTGAGGAGGAAGGGCGAAGGGCTGTGTCAGCCTCTGATGAACAGGTCATTGACGTAGTTGAAGTTTCAGCGATGACTGTCGAAATTTGTTCTTACGTATCGAGTTGGCTAAGAAGCGGAATGTGGTAACGTATTGGTTTGCATTGTATAACCGAGATTCCGGTACAGTTCTAAGGCCCAGGCCAATATCCAAGGTCAAATCGTCGTGTTGAGTCCCCCAAAGCCACGGTCCAATTGGTAACGCTCGGCAGACCCTGAACCCCCTGAACCCCCTGAACCCCCCACCAGCGCCGACGCCGCCTCTTCGCCATTCCCGCGCGCCGATAACGATAAGATAAAGATTTTTTTCTCCATCGCGCCATCCAGACAAGTCGAGTCCGCTCGGCCTTTTCATCCCGCCAGTCCCACCGCTCCGGGAAAAAAAAAGAAAGCCTTTCTGTGTTGCCCTTTCCCCGAAAAGAGACGCCCTCCCCTTTCTTTCTTATCCGAATAGAAACAGACCATTCCAGAATGGGTGCGACGAAGCGTCTCCTCGCCGGGAGCGAAAAAAAAAAAAAAAAAAAAAAAAACAGTCCCAGCAAGAAGCAGAAGGTCAAGGAACCTGCCGAGGGCGACGACGAGGCGGCGGCGCTGAAGAAGCAGAGGAAGAAGGAGAAGAAGGCGGCCAAGGCGGCCAAGGAGGCCAAGGAGGGCGGCGGCGAAGACAAGGACGAGAAGAAGAAGCGCAAGGAGGAGAAGCGCGAGAAGAAGCGGCTCAGGGAAGAAGCGGAGAAGGCTGCCGCCGCTGGCGAGGATGCCCCCATGGCCGATGTCGACGCCGACGCCGAGACGAAGCCCAAGAAGGAGAAGAAGGACAAGAAGGAAAAGAAGGACAAGAAGGAGAAGAAGGTCATGTCACAGAACGGCGCCGCTGTCGCGAGCGCCTCGTACACACAGTCGGCGGCCCTGACGGCGCTGCCCCAGGCCGACATTGACGCCTACTTGGCCGAGCAGTCGATTGTCATCGGCGATGACAAGTCGACCAACCTGCGTCCCGTCCTCGCCTTCGACCAGCTGCCCGTCACCGACCTCCTCGCCAAGTCGCCGTTTGCCGCCTACACCAAGCCGACGCCCATCCAGGCGGCCTCGTGGCCGTTTACGCTGTCGGGTCGTGACGCCATTGGCGTGGCCGAGACGGGGTCCGGCAAGACCATGGCTTTCGCGCTGCCGCTCGTCGAGTCGATCAGCAAGATGAAGAAGCGCTGCATCAAGGCCGTCGTCGTGTCGCCGACGCGCGAGCTCGCCATGCAGACGCACGAGCAGACGGCCCAGCTGGCGGCCCACCTCGGCCTCAAGAGCGTGTGCGTCTACGGCGGCGCCTCCAAGGACGAGCAGCGCGCGCTGCTGCAGCGCGGCGCCGACATCATCGTCGCGACGCCGGGCCGCCTCAAGGACTTCATGTCCGACGGCACCGTCGACCTGTCGCACAGCCGGTTCGCCGTGCTCGACGAGGCCGACCGCATGCTCGACAAGGGCTTCGAGGACGACATCAAGGCCATCCTCGGCGCTATGCCAGCGCGCGAGGACCGCCAGACGCTCATGTTCACGGCGACGTGGCCCGCGTCGGTGCGCCTGCTCGCCTCGAGCTTCATGGTCGACCCCGTCAAGATCACCATCGGCTCGGGCGGCAAGGAGACGGCGAGCGGCTCGGTCGAGCTGCAGGCCAACACGCGCATCACGCAGCGCGTCGAGGTCGTCGACGGCCGCGACAAGGAGCAGCGCCTGCTGCAGATCCTGCGCCAGTACCAGGCCGGCCAGGGCCGCCACGACCGCATCCTCGTCTTCTGCCTCTACAAGAAGGAGGCCACGCGCGTCGAGGGCTTCCTCCAGCAGCGCGGCATCCACGTCTGCGGCATCCACGGCGACCTGCGCCAGGACCAGCGCACCCGCAGCCTCGAGGCCTTCAAGTCCGGCTCCACCTCGGTCATGGTCGCCACCGACGTCGCCGCCCGCGGCCTCGACATTCCCGAGGTCAAGCTCGTCGTCAACGTCACCTTCCCGCTGACCATTGAGGACTACGTCCACCGCATCGGCCGCACCGGACGCGCCGGCAAGACGGGCGAGGCCATTACCCTCTTTACCGTCCAGGACAAGGCCCACTCTGGCTCGTACGTCTTTTTTTTTTTTTCCTTTCTTTCTTCCTCAGCACTACGGATAGTCATGGATATCTCGCTAACCCTGCTTTAGATTGATCAACATTCTCAAGGGT